GTGGTGGTGGAAATCTAGTTCCCTGTAGCTGATAGCTGTAAAAGGGAAGTATACTTTGAGGGGAAAAAAACCCCATGTAACCCTTAAGTATTGATTTTAAAGTGTAGATGCATTGCCTCATGATTCCTGTTATTTTTAGAATGTTGTTGGTGAGAGTGTTTTTTTGAAATTGATATTTCAGAAAAATACACTACCTGTTTTTTATTCACTTTGAGATGTGATCCATAGCTCTAAGGCTACTATTTTTATTCATTTTATTTAACTCTGCCTTTTGGACTCCTTTCTTAGCATCTTTTTCTCCTTTTTCCTGCCTTGCTGTTGCCATCACGAGTACCAAGAGCATTGAGGAGACGATATTCTGAGGGATAGGGTTGTATCGTTACTTGTCTCCCGCTTTGTTCTTCCTTTCCTTCTCATCTCCTGTCTCCCCACTAAGAAAGCCAACATCCCCAATCCCTTTTCCTGTTCCTTGCAGGAACTGGCTTTGATGCAGATCTAAATCTAGTGGCAGAAAAGTTGGCAGAAGTGACTAGGTCCTCTTTGGTACCAGTGGAAGTTACAGCCACTATTAAATATGGCTGGATGTTTTTAAGAGGCCATTGTGTATGTGTGTAAATATATTAAACTTGTACAATAGAAGACTGATGTTTTGTGAATTTAGTTAACTTTTAATTTTTTTAATTTTTTTTTAGAGAGAAGAAAGCCATAATTGATCCTTCTCTATTCAAATACAAAGTCCAACCTATTAAGAAAGAACTATATGAAACTGTTGTCGTTAAAGCATCTCAACTAAGGTAAAAAATAGTATATGAAAGTTAAAATTGTACTTTATAACTGTGTGAGTTGTGTAAGTAACTGTAAGAAGTTTTTGATATAAATTGGCATTTTAAAATAATATGTTAGAACTATTAGTTACAGGCACTGGAACAAAATACTGTTTCACAAGCTTTCTGTAGCAAGGGTTCCAAGCTTTACTAGTATTAACACAGATACCAACTCCTTAGAAGTCCCAGCTTTTGTTGGCACACAAATGAGACCTGCTGTTGCTTCTGGTACCTGTGCCTACTGCTGTGACTGATGGAGTAGGTGAAAAAAAAGTTTGAGAGCCCTATTCTATAATATTGATGAACTTTTGGCATTGTGAGCATTCTCTCTCTCTCTCTCAGTAATGGTAGCTTTACTGCTTTGAAATGTTGGAGCAGACATTGACAATCAGACTGCTTTACTGCTTTAAAATAGAAAGCTGCGAAGCAGTTTTACTCCTTAACATAATTTTGTCCAACCCCAAAAACCAAACCAAACAAACAAAACACAAACCAAAACAAAAAACCAAACAACAACCTTCAATGATTTCAAGTCATTTAGTTCCAGCGTGAATCAAGATTAGTTTCTTCATTAACTACTCCTGTGTAGTCAGTTTTCTTGTTCCCATGAAGTATTGTGGGTTCCCCGGGATGCCAGGAAGCATTTAGAGCACATACTGTCCCATAGCGAGGAGTGCCACAGCCTGACCAAGCAGTGAGCGAATTCACCCCTCTCACTTGTTGGCTTGAGACTTCTGTGCCTTACCTCTCTGAGAGATGTGAATGCTGCTTTCCTGCTGTCCTTGTTTGCTTGTTTGTCTTCACCCTCTTCTGTAACAATCAGACTTCAGTTTTATTTGGGATTTTTAAAAGCTACTGTGATAGAAAGGAATGTTTGGAGAATCTAGCAGGGATGAATAGGCTGTGGAGTTTGTGTGTGTATATACAAGAGGACATAGCAGGATCTTCAAAATAAAAATTGCAGATGCATAAAATAACTGTTTAAGTATTACTTGGGTTTTGTTTTGTTCGTAGGGAAATTTTTAACTGAATTGCAGTTGCAAAGAATGACTGTTAGTTGCAATAGTAAGGGTGTAGTTTCTAATTAAGAAAATGAGGAAGAGGTCAATCATATGATATGTTACATATATTCTTGCACATTGTCAACTGTACTTAAACAATAATTAAAGATGTTATTTGATAATGCTACCTTTCTATCCTCATACAGCCGGAGGAAACATCTCTTTTCTCGTGACAGACTTAAACTTTTTCTGAAACAACACTGTGAACCACATGATGGAGTCATTAAAACTAAGGTAAACAAGAAGGAATGATTTGTGGGATAGAATATTGACCCTACTCAGTCTTTTTTTGCTCTTCTCTACTAGCTGCTCAGAGCTTCTTTTTTAAACTACATCAAGCTTAGCTTTTTGTAAGTATAATGTATTGAGTTAGTATTTGACTTTTCCAAAATAAAAGGATGAATACTGAAACCTTTTTCAGTATTCAGTAAAAGAGTTTAACTTTTTCTTGTAAACAAGATGGTAGTTTTTCTGTACATGAAGCAGAATTTAATTTTCTAATTTCTTCTTTAGATACCAGTTTAGAAAAGTCCCCAAAATAAAAATGGGAGCTTTTGCCTAGAAAAATATTATTTATTAAAACATAATGTATTTTTGCTTAGTCTAACATGAGTTGTTTTTATTCTTCAAGGTATGCAGCTGATATTTATAAGTCAAATAAAATTAACTACTTTTGTTTTGATACAGTAAGCTAGTATTATTCTGTTGTAATGCTTTTAGCTGGAAAATATTTTATTGTAGATTGAATTCAGTCTCCAGTTCTTCAGTGAGACAGAAGTACCAAAAATTCAGGTGGCTGGAATGGGCTTTTGATGAGGCCTTAGATGTTGAAGATACATATTTTTGTTCATCTTATGTGGAGATAAACGGTGATACTTAGTACAAATTCAGGCTAAAGTTCACATCTTAGTCTGCGCAGGATGACTCTGAGAATTTGTTTCCATGTACTCAAAGAATGGAGCAGCTTTTCCCACACTTACTAACTAGGCAGCAATTTCCCTTGCCTTGCTCCTGGACTCTTTCACTGTGTATTGCAGCCTTGACCCTGAAATCGTCCTTATCTTCATCTTTTTTTTAGAAAGTAGCATGTTTGTTTATTATGTCTTGTATCTTGTGTGTGTGTTTAAGAGGAATCTTCATACAGCTATGTAACTGCTCATTCTGTACAGGAAGGCTCTGAGAGATGAGAGCATCCATGACAGTCTTGCCTCTGAAAGTTGTGGGGCAACTAAGTTCTAAATATGTTTGTAACTTTGAAGACTGTGTCTCTTAAAGAAATGGAAATAGAAGAAAATAGAGCTGAAAGGGATAAACCACCCCTTTCCTTGGGCTTGTTAGTGATCATGTTGTCCCTGATGTGATACAGTGAGCTGGGTCAAGTGATCTGTTAGCGACGCTTTCTGGTGCCTCAGGAAAATTGTTATATTCTGTATATGTATGCATTTGTCATCTTCTCTTTGTTTGGGCTTTTTGTGGAGTGACTCCCGAGTTTCCCTTGCTGATTGCCTTGCATGTCAGCAGTTATGTGAACATGTCCTATTTGGAGTGTCTCCTTTGTGTCCTCATCTGTAAGACTTGAATAAGGGCAGACTTTCTGAAGTCACCAGGTTGAGAAAGCTGACTTGAAAAGAAACTTTGACAATTCAGAATGAGAGAAGTCATAATTTTTCTCCTCCTCCAGAAAAGTTTAAGTATGATAGAGAAATATGTGATTCTTCAGTAACTTTTCTGGCTTTCTCTGTCAAAAGTCATTCTCAACACATTTCAGTAACTTGCTAGGAAGACTGTGTCCAGCTGTGTTTGCTGAAAGGCACCTAAAGAAATAAAATCTTACCAAATGAGGCCAAATTCTATTTTCAAATGTGTGCTGCTTACATTATTATCCATTTGGTGGAATAACTCTATGCTTATGCTATTTAAGAGTTTTATTTCTTACCTGAAGCTAACAGTTGTGAATCTAGTTACTTTTACTGTCTTTTTTTTGGTGAATTATTCATTCATTAGCTTATATTTACAAAAATGTAAGAATTTCATAATGAATATCTGTTTTAATCTTTCTTACTAAGGCAACATCAATTGCAAAATATAATCTAGCTGAACAAAGTTTCTCCTGCTTCTTTCCTGATGACCCACCTACGTTTATCTTCAGTCCTGCAAGCAGGCGGCGAGGGAGACCTCCAAAGAGAGCATCTACTAGTCTTGTAAGAAATAACATTTTTAAATCCAGATGAAGACACATCAGTGTAGCCTTTAAATTCTTCATTTTCTCTGAGCTTTCAGAACAGTTGGAATGCAAGATTGATGTTGTGCTTTTTTTCTTTGAGGATGAGTGGGGATATATTACATAATTGCTATTGTAGTAGATTGCTTTATAGTTAAGCTGGTAAAAGGGACTATACTTGATATGTTATTATCTTATTTTTATCTTTCTTATTTCTGTGATCTCACCAAGAAACCAGCTTTTCAGTGTGTTGTGAAGGTGCATAGAGTACTTGTCCCTTCTGGGAATGATCAATAAATAATTTGCATTTATGTCACTTGCCTATATTTAAATGCAGCGAAGCTTAGTGCTCTAAACTATTTAAAAAGAAAGCTGGAAGAAAAAAATTTGCGTTGGAACCTCCCTCCCCATTAGGCAGGATCTCTGAATACTTAGTATGTTTGTTGGAAACACTTACAGTCTGTTTTTATTCTTGTTTTAGAGAACTATTGAAAAATTGGGAATATCTGTTGCTGGTCATTTCACTGTATATTCACATATTATGTTCTCTTTTTCTACTCCCCCTCCGAATTCTCTATCAGGAGGATGAGATTCCTGCTAAACGAAATACCCAAGGAAACAAAAGTAAAGTAGCAAGGGAAAAGACAAGGTTCCCGAAGCTGAAAGAAGATATGCAAGCCATGGGTAAGTTCAGGTTTAGTCCTATGACTAGTAGAACCAGTTTTTGCAGGTCTGAGCACAGGCCATAATTAGAGTATTTTGGGGGTTGTACCTTTCAAAGGGAAAATGTGCTGTGGCAGTGTGCTATTACTATTGCAAAGTGCTCCTTTCAGTGGTTAGAATGGTTGTTTCCTGAATTTTTTTTTTATTTTTTTTTTTTTTACTAAACTGAGGAAATGTGGGAAGCTTGTGGTCCAGCTGTGTTGATTTCTATCTCAGATAAAGAGCAAAACAAATTTTTGCAGAAGTTTGGATTGCAAAGCCATGTATAAATTTTACTAGCTGAAGGTACATCAAAACCTGAACATTTAACACAAATCAATCTGTTGTATGAGGAAGATCTGTAAATGGAAAAACTACCTCAAAATTTAAAAGAACTGCAAAACTTTCTAAACCTGTGATAATCCTTAAGGAAATCTTGAGTCTTTCTGAAGGTGTCTGTGCATAGATATTTAAGGTATGTGTAAATGTTCTACAAGATTACTTAGAATATGTTTACAAATTTTTTCTAATTGAAAGAGCACAAATCACTCTGAGATTTTTATTTTGGAGTGATTGAATTTATTTTGGCTTAGTTTCGACCTGTTTCTGGTCTATTTAAGCTTGATTTCAAATGAAGTAAGGAGGTCCACATGCCGTTTGTATGGGTTTAACTAGGTAAAGTGGTGCGTCTTCCTGAGGAGATGCAGCTCAGACAGAGAGATGTTGTTCTGAATTGTAAGCACTGATATCCTTCCTAAGGAAAGGCTTTCATCTGTGGAAATATTTCCGTGAACTTCTGGTTTCTAGCTCTCATTTCCATTATTATAGGATGTTTTAGGGTGGCAGGGACGTCTGGAAATCATCTAGTCCAACATGTGCTTGAATAACTGCAAGGTTGTCTGAGGCTGCTCAGGACCTTCATAGGAGATGGGGACACTAGGGTTTAGTGGGCTCCATTAAACTTGTGCATCCATTTTTTCATACAACTAGCATCTATTTGTTTATGTGCTAGAAATGACAGCATAGAACAAGGTAATAGCTGATCAACATCAAAGCTGCTTCCTTTCTTGTGTAGTGTTAAGTACAGCTTCTAGAAGGCTAATTAAAACAGAGTCTGGATTAATTTTATCTTTCTTTTTTTATTCTATTGCACCCCAAAGCCCTTGAAACATATAGTTTCAAACAATGAAAGAGCGATCAGCCTTGAAATAAGTTGTAGAACATGGAGATCCAAATGTAGTATTTGTATTTTTTGCCATCTCACTAGAAAACTGTCACAGCTTGTTGATATTCAGACTTTTAAAATGCTTTCTGTTCTTTGTTGAGGACACAAAATGATGATAAATGCATCAATAATAATAATAAAAAAAATGGTGGTGTCACACTTGTTCTGTATGTTCATTTTTGGCCCAATGTTGACCCATGATTATAAACTTTTTTTAAAAATATGCAGTTCTTTAATTAGAAACCAGCAACACTTTATACTCATTTTTTGAAAAGTATGATCCCATCCATACAATAAACTTAAAAATGCACTTTAAAATACACTATATTAATGTAATTGAGTATTAATCTAAACATTTTACCTGTAAATAATGTTTCATTGGAATGGCAATTACTGACATTCATAAAATCTCTTACAAAGAGCTGCTATAGTACTTTACTAATGATGGGAAAAGGTAGCAAAGTACCAAGTACCTTGAAAAATCAACCTTCTCAGTATGTAGAAGAGTACGGGGGATCAACTTCACTGCTTTTGTTTGCTGGGTGAGAGACGTTGCTGGTGTGTGTAGTAGCTATCTGTAAAAGCAATCTAGCCCATTTTCAGAATTTTACAGGAAAACGTAATCGAAATCTTTCTTTTGAGCGCCATCCACTTGGTAACAGAAGTAAGGATCTCTTTTCATTTCCTTCACTTGTGATTCTAGCTTTCTTGTTTATTTAATTAAAATGGTAAGCCCCCTTACTCCCTTCTGTTTGTTAGCTTGTGTGTGGGTTGACAGACATTGTCTGTCCACAGAAAGTGGGAATTTGTATCCTGCTGTTCTTGTGCAGACAGCTACAAAGAAATCTGAATCTCCTCAGGCAATAACAGTTATACCAACTTAAGTTCAGCTTAAACCATGTAACAGAAGTAAAACTTGTACAAAACCCACTGATATACTAAGTAGGTTTCAAATGTATTGACTTTTCAGTAATTCAGTAATGATTAAATATTTAAAGATCACTTATTTAAAGGTTTTTACTGTCACAAATATTTCATGGTTATATGCCACAGCTAGTTGTGACATGCTTTTATTAAGCAGTCGTTACTAGATATGTTGCTGGAATTATATGTGGTTGCAATCAGTTGTCATCTTTATAGGTCACTTGATAGAAACCAATAAACAAGTAATAAACTTCTGTACACTCATAAAAACAGAGATATTTGACTTTATTACAGTGATGACAACCTTGTAAAACGTGTAATACTTAGACTTAAAATTCTGGTTCTCTAAAGAGCTTTCAAGTGATGGAATTTCTGGTTGGCATAGAAACAATTCAGTCTTCATAACAATATCTTTTTCGTATGGTAATTATAAAAAGATCAGTCTATTTAGCACAGTTAAATAAAATTAACATTTTTATAAAAGAAAAAAAACTTTTTTTTTTTCCTTTATAGCTTTTGAAAAAGCTAAATTAAAACAAGAGAAGGCAAATGCTATAGAAGCTAAGAAAAAGGAGAAAGAAGATAAGGAAAAAAAGAGAGAAGAATTAAAGAAGATTGTGGAAGAAGAAAGGATGAAGAAGAAAGAAGAGAAAGAGAGACTCAAAATAGAAAAGGAAAAAGTAATGCATTTGCAGTATATGTGTTTCATATAGCAACAGTATAATGGCTTTCTAGTTTACTTGTTTTTTAGATGCTATCTGCTTCAAGTTATTTTCCATTAACTGTTTTCAGTTAATAGAAATGCCCTTTAGAAGAATAGGCAGTTATAAGATATGATTATGGATATGTATTTCTGGATAAGGTAGTTCACAAAAAGTTCACTCTGAACTAACTTCTGAAGTAATGTGGTGAGGAACTTTTTTTGCCAATAATGCATGACAGTATTTGATTTGATGTTTGTCTTCTACTTAAGTGTTAAAGACACTACGGCATCTGATTCACAGCATATTAAATGGTTGTGGGTTTCCTTGTGGTTTCTCTTTGGATGGAAATTGCTAAATAACTTCTTGTCACATTGAATATGAAGAAATTATTTATTCCACTATATTTTACCACAGCCACATCTAATATCTATTTTGATGGTCTTTTTTTGTGGCAACTTTCATAAATACTCTTATTTTTAGATCTTTTTTTCCTCAGCCACTTCTGTTTAAAAAAAAACAACCACCAAAACAAACGAAAAAGCCCTCAACAAAACCCCATGTCTAATCCAATAAAGTATCACTGCAGTTTACTTCTAAATATTTTTGCCGATATTTTCTTCTACAAATTAAAAATTATTAGATTATTTCATTCTAATTAAATATGTTTTAGTTCTGTTTTTCAGTGTGATTGAAGTAGTAAGTGGTGCAGTTCTAGAAACTATAATAGGGTGATCTGACCATATTTTATATACAGTTGTGACACACTTTTTCAGGAAAGAGAGAAGCTGCGTGAAGAAAAAAGAAAATACGTGGAGTACCTGAAACAGTGGAGTAAACCTAGAGAAGATATGGAGTGTGATGATCTTAAGGTATGGCTGAATTTGGAGTAGCTCAAGCTCGTACTTTACAGGGCCACCAAGCTGGATTCCCTAATGCAGAGGCGGATCGAGATCTGATCTGAATTCTAGGGGTTGTGAATCACCTGCAGTCATGTAATATTTCCCAGTGGTGATGCCAACAGGATTGTCTGCATCTGCATTTTCACCTTCCAGAAAAACTTTACAGGCTGTTCTCATCCTTAACGTGGAACAGATGTATTTTTAAAGCGCTGACCTTACTGAGTGGAGGCATTGCATATGCCTGACTTTTCTGTTAAATATACAAGATGAGCTCACGTAGAATAAACCTAAGTTACTTAAACAATTTGAGTAATGAAGAAACCAATTTTTTGTCTGCTAAAGGTAGAAAGGACATTAGCTTGTTACTCCCTGTGGCGCTCTTTTGATTTAAACTCTAGCTGTGTCCTTGCTTAACGAGCATCTTTCTGGATGATCCTGGAAACCTATAGAAAGAAACAAGAATTTACCTCCCAAAGAGCTTAATGTTCTAAACAAGGGTATAGCGTGTCTGTACATAGCGGAAGATTGTTTAGTGTTACACATTTATGTACACTTCATTATGATTAATTTTGGCAGGGGATAATGAAAGGAGGCAAAATAGTCAGAAACACAAAGATGAGTTTATTTGAGATACACAGGGAAACATGATGGAAGTGCAAAGAGGACAAGTGGGAATAGAGGAGAGTGTTAAATGAATTGAAGTGATAGTACTGGTTGGGAGGATATGAGAATTGACAATATTGGCAAGGAGAGCTGTATAGGCTCTTGAGAGTGAAAACTGATAGCTATGTATAGAAAGAAGAAACTGAAGAAAGGAAAGAGCATTGTCAAACTGAGAAGAAGCCGTGTACAGTGCTGCTGTTTTTCATTGGAAAAGAAAAAAGGAGAGGTGGGAAAGTGGTTATCATTACAGTGAAAATTGACAAGAATATGAATAAAGATGAGTTTAGGTGAGGACTGCTTTTCAAAAAATTCCCTTCCCAGGAAATGCATAAAATACTTTACTGTGTCCTTCTGAAAACACAGTATTCAGCATTCTTCTTGTTCATGTTTGTGAACTACCACCTTTGTGGAAAGGAGCCATCTTTCTGGAATTTGTTTGACTCTGCTAAGAAACATTAAGTGAAGACAAATCTTGAAGAGTTACATCAAGATATTAATTTGAAAGTCAAACTCTGTGTTAGACACTGATCTGTGATTTGGAGGTGGCGTCTCTGTTAAGTGGTCTTGTTACATGGTTACATCAGCTCTTTAAAATATCTTCAGCTATCGTAACTGCCTTACCACTGCAAAAACCCAAATACCAGAATACTTGGTCATTAGACACGATCTTGCATATCCTAGTATTAGATGGGTGTGTTTTTATGTGAATGTGTTGGGTTTTTGTTTGCTTGTTTTTGCAGGCAATAATGAGTAACTTTTTAAGAATATGTTTGGTTTTGCTTGTCTGGATAGTTCCAGCAAACTTAAAGTCAAAACACTTGTGACATAATACAGGTTTAAAGGAAAAATCTTGACAACCAGTGTATTAACTTGTAGTGGGTTTGAGTTTCTTTAAACAAAGATATAAAATCATTCAACGTCATGAATGTGAATAAACTTTTATCTCAAGAGATATATGTCCAAGTTACATGCTTTTCAATGTTTAAAGGTAGTATTACCACAGATGTTACCGTGGTAATTGATTATGTGTCTTGCAGAACCATTTTCACGAAAATGTAAAGAAATACTGCAGATATACTCCTTAGAATCATAGACTGTTTGGTTTTAATCACTTGTGTGCTCTGCAGAAACCAAATACAATATTAAGTTGTCCCATTTGGATTGCAGGAACTTCCCGTTCCAATACCAGTGAAGACGAGACTTCCTCCTGAGATCTTTGGTGATGCTCTGATGGTTTTGGAGTTTTTATATGCTTTTGGGGAACTTTTTGATCTTCAAGATGAATTTCCTGAAGGAGTGACTTTAGGCAAGTTGTCATTTTTGTGGCAAGGTGCCCCAATTTTGTGGTGTTCCTGCTCTTATCAAACATCTTAAGTGCACCCAAGTACCAGTGCTACAAAATTTCCTGTGCAGCTTTAATATGTCAGTGCTTACATGTGCATATCAATTTAGTTTTCTCTTCACAGTCAACTTCTGCAGTGTTTATAAAATCAAAATTAATTTCAGTGTAGAAGCTGTTAATCTACTTAGTAAAATGTCTACTTGTACGTTACTCTTGCAATTATATATTAAGAAAATAATGTTGTTTTGTCAGCACTCTTTCTGACACCATCTCCTTAGGAATATTTGAAGTAAATTATGGGAAAGTAACTTGGTTATCATATCTGAAGGAAAAAAAACTGTTTTCATTCTTCAGTACATAATTGTTTTCCAACTTTGTGGCAAAAGTGACGCTTCTTAAACTTTATTCACAGAAGTTTTAGAGGAAGCTCTTGTAGGAAATGACACTGAAGGCCCACTATGTGAATTGCTGTTTTTCTTCCTGACTGCCATCTTTCAGGCAATGGCCGAAGAGGAAGAAGAAGTGGCCAAAGATCAAATAGCTGATGCTGAGACCAAAGGTCAGATCCTTAATTTTACTGCTGAAAAACTGAAATTCCACTGGAATTAACTTTAAACTGCATGATTTATGGCATTCCTTTGTTTAACCTTGTCTTATTATGCATGGATATTGTGTGTAAATGGACTTGCTTTTTCTCTTTCATCTGAAATTAAAGCTTTAAACTGGGCATGGAGGGTGGGGTCTGGGGGGAACCGAGAAAAAGCAAGCTCATTGTTACTACAATTGTATCCAGCAAAGCATAATAAGCTTTTAACAGCACTGCTTATATTTTGGAGGTAGGGAAACTTATCTTCTCCTTCCTCCTCTTCCTTCAGCACTGTTAGATGTTTCTCCTGAGGGTCAGGAAACCAGGCATTTTCCTAAATCTTCTCAAAGGTCTTTATCTGTAGCTGTAAAAAAAAAAATCTGGACCTAACTAAATTAGAAACTACAACTCCCCAGCATAACTATAATGGAGAGTTCAATATTCATTGTCATCCAAGACCTAGAAGTATGCATCCACAACTCCTAGATACTACCATGTCCGTGTATTTTTCCAGTAAAGGATCTCATAGTCACTCTGCCTTTGGTCTTCACTCTAAGGCTGAAGTTGCCCAGGTTTCCAGAGGCATTTGGTATACGCTAACCACTGAGCAGAAGGAAGTGCAGGCTTTGTTCCAAATTTCTGTGGTCTCGTTTTTATGGACTGCCAAATTTGCTGGCTAGCCAAAGGAGAAGGTTTGACCCTTCCTGCTAGTCTTTATTTCAGTAGAAGTGGATAAGAACATAAGAGCCTTCCCCATTTGACATCAAGTGAATCCTGTGGTGCCCCCATAAGACAGATGTGTGAGGTACAGGAAAGTTCCTTTAATTCCTCCCTTGAAGACTGTGTATTCTCATGCTTAAGATTTATGTCCAATCTATAAAATGTCTTTATATAAAACATGGGCACTATCTTTAGCAATGAAGTTACAGATTTGGTGCAGTGTTAACAAATTTAGACTGTATTTTAATTACTGTTGAATTTAGCAATTAAACTGTGTCTTTTAACTACTGAGAGCATTGCTTGGGCAATATAAGGAAGGATTCTATTATCAGGTAATCATAGAATAGTTGATTATATTCTTTATTATTTATAGGACTGATCAGAAAGAATGTAATGTAATGTTCATATTTTAATTTTACTGTATGGGGCTGGCAATTGCAAAAATCTGCTGTTTTGCTTCTAGTTTAGCAGAGCTGTGGGCAGGGCACTTTTACTTGCCTTGGAACTTTTCATTTCTTGTCACTCTTGTTTAGACATCTTCTTTCCCGTAAAAGAATTACATGTTCTCAGCTTTGTAATTCTGGCTAACCAAACTAGTAGTAGTCAGCATGTTTGCTCACTTAAATTCTGTACAGGCAGTGTTTCTGCAACAGAAAACACCATGGGTGTGGGGTTTTGGTCTGTACAGTACTTTCTCAAACCATGTAATACAGATACAGCAAGAGGGGAGATGCAGAGGTTAATTTTGTAATGTCTGGGTGACAGTTTTTGAACTACATCAATCATCATACAAGACTCTGTGGATATGCTTTTTATGTAGTCCTGGTTTGGATTTGTAGCTGTTTATTGACTTGGCGACTTTGTAACTGCTTAATGATTTAGACTTGAATAAAGTGAAATTGTTGAAACAGCATACAATGTTGAAAAAATTCTGCCAACCCTCTGGAGAAATACCTGTAAGTGCTAAGGAAACTTTTGTCTAAGAAACAGGCATTTTGCTGTTTCTCCCTTTCACTGCCCTGCTTTCCTGGTCAGTTTGCTAATGTGTGATGCTCCTTATTAAGTGCAGATGCTTGTTTTGGTGAAACATGGTTTCTTTGAAATGCCTTAGTAATTGTATTTGTGAAGAACAGTAAGGCTATATCTAAGTTACAGATTGAAAGAATACAGTGAATAGTGATAGCCAGTATCAAAACGTGTGATTGGTTTGGATGGTCTTTCCTAAAAACAAAATGATGATAGGTAATAACAGTTCAGCTGAGGGAATGAAATACAAGTGTTCTTGCATTGTTGTTTGATTTTGCTTTCAACTGTGTTTACAGATTTGCTTTTGCTGCCTTTTATGTTGCCATTGTGCATGTTTTGTGCATTGTGATTGTTTTGACAGCTTATATATATGAAAAACAGCGTATAGCATGTGGTGCATGTCCTTAGCTTTTAGTTGTTTTTTTAGTTGCATTTGAAGATACGTAAATTTTAATCTGGATGTTGAATTGAGTTTTGAATACATTGATGCTTCTGTAAATATTGGCCCTCTTTTTGCTTTGTCTGCAACTTTTGAAAAATGGCTTGCTTTCCTCCCCTCCACAGTACAAGTTTTAATTTGCACTAGAATAAAGTGTTTATTTCCTTAAAGATTTAACAGAGGCTTTGGATGAAGATGCAGACCCCACAAAATCTGCACTGTCTGCAGTTGCAACTTTGGCAGCTGCATGGCCCCAGTTACATCAGGGTATGTGTGGGTTTCACTTCTCGTTATGTTACTGTTCTTATTTTGCTCTGTATTTTAAAGCACTTTTTTTTTATATTTATGTCCATTTGAATGACTATATAAAATAACTGTTCATTCTTCTCAACTGTAGGATGCAATTTGAAAAACTTGGATCTTGATAGCTGCACTCTTTCTGAGATTCTCAGACTTCACATTCTAGCATCAGGCGCTGATGTAACATCAGCCAATGCAAAATACCGTTACCAGAAACGAGGAGGGTTTGATGCTACTGATGATGCTTGCATGGAGCTGAGATTAAGTAATCCTGGTCTCCTGAAGAAACTTTCAAGTACCTCAGTGTATGATTTGTTGCCAGGTAATAAAGGATAATAAATGTTAAGAGGTGGTTACAATGCTCATCAAGTGATTGGTTTTGTAACTGCTTCAGATCACTAATGGTCAAAATTTACTGTATTATAGGATAATTTAGGTTGGAAAGGACCTCTGGAGGTCACTTAGACCAACACCCACCCCCTACGCTCTGGCCCCCACAAGCAGGTCCCACCAGATCAGAGATTGCAGAGCTAGACAGTTTCATTACATCTGAGTAGCCTCTTTAAATCCTGTTTAAAAAAAAATAAATGTTAGTTCTACTTGCACAAGGGGAATCTCTCTAGGAGAAGCATCAGAGTGTTTGATTCAGCCCCTGCTTTTTATTGCTATTCTGGCTTGGGTCTTTTGTTTGCTATTTGGAAATGGAGAAAAAAAGGACTGTCTGCTGTTCCTTTATCTGCATTTTAGTTCTTTCAGTGCCAGAAGTTAATAAGTTAAAAATAAAGGTTTGCATCTCTGAGCAAAGCAGGTACTTCAGGAAGTGCCTCTGCAAGTGCAGCTAGTGCACTAAAAACGTTTGACTGTCTGCTTTTTCTCCAATGAGAATAAATCTTCAGTCTGGAGTGTATAAGAGTAAGGCTAATTTATCAGTTGTATAATGAAATATAAACATTGGTCTGAATTTTATTAGGAGAAAAGATGAAGATCCTTCACGCCCTCTGTGGGAAACTTCTGACTCTCGTCTCCACTCGAGATTTCATTGAGGACTCTGTTGATGTGTTACGACAAGCAAAACAGGAGTTCAGAGAATTAAAGGCAGAACAGCATCGCAAAGAACGAGAGGCGGCAGCAGCAAGGTAAAACTAGGATATGGAAAGCTGAATTTTGTTGCTACAAATTAGATTAATTCCTTGATTGCAAAAGGCATATGAGAAATAATAGCAGTGTTTGTGGTTTATGCTGGTTTCTTGAGACCCTAGACAGGACTGAAACTTTATTGTGCTTTCCCACATTACTGTTATTTTTAGATGATGCTGTAGTGTAAAGGAAAACAACTGTGGGCAAATCAGATACTAGATTAATTACAACTGCTTTTCTGTATCCTTCTTTCTATTAGGATACGTAAGAGGAAAGAACAAAGGTTAAAAGAACAAGAGTTAAAAATGAAAGAGAAACAAGAAAAGCTGAAGGAAGAGGAGCAAAGAAATCCTGCTGTAGAAGTATCCATTGGGTATGATACATGGTATTACTGTGATACATATGATATAGCACTTCTCAGTTATGTGTCCTAGACCTTACCTATGTATTTTTCATCTACTTGATCATATACAAAGGTATATTTTAATTTAAGTATATAGCCATTAATGTTGATTTTATTTTACTTCCTAGAATCGCTTTCTGCAAGTGACTTTATTTTTAAAAAAACTTTTATTATAATTCTGTTGACAGTTTGACAGTTTTAGCTACTGACAAGAGAAACTTGCAAAATCTAATTTTTTTTTTGCATTACTTTTGGTCTTGCATTGATTTCATATCTGTGAATGTCTTCATAATAGACCATTCTAGTTTGTTTTCTAATTTGAGGAATTAGTCTCATCTGAGCTAGATAATACTGACCTCACATAATTTATGAATCAAATTTCATAGCATTTTTTAAAAAAATGCTGTACTATCCCAGGTGATTTCCAGAAAAACAAGGTTTTTTTGTTCTATTAATAAAACTGCATGGTTTCAGGTGGTAAAATTCATGCACATGCAGCTGTATATGATTCCAGAAAAAAAAAAAGCAAAGTGTATATACAACATTATATCTATATCTGCTTGAGGAAGGGAATTAGTTAAATATATCTGCTTGCAAAAGGTGAGCATGGGCCAAAGACAGATTTGTGCTATGTTTTTTAAACTATAATTGAGAAAAAATTATAAAATAAATGTTATACTGTAATGGTTGCATGTAGTTCTGTAGGTTTTTTATTATATTTGCTAGGTGATGGAAAATGGGTAATAAGCATTTTCTAAAATGGTATACATTTTGATGAGGAAAACTTTTTTTTTTTTCCCTAGTCATGACAAAAATTCAGGTCAGTAGAGCTACACAAATGGTTCCAAAAATGATATGACTATAATAATGCTCTTCAAATGAAAGAGTGAATACCAAAGGGCAGGTTTTAGTCTTTGTAAACAGGAAGTTCCATATTAGTTCAGTGGGTTTCTTCTGGGTTTTAATATATTCTATGACTTAGTTTATTTTTAAAAAGCATTATAGGTCTTTTACTAGCTTAAGTACTTCTGAAGAGGAAAATGCTGTTTGTGTTGAAGATGCCATATTCTATTGTGTATTTTTTTTTGTATTCCATTCAGCTTTAGTACATGGTTGGTCAGTTGGTCACCTTTTGTTTATCTTACTGTATCAGGGAGGAGGAACGGGAAGACCTTGATACTAGTACAGAGAGCAAAGAAATGGAACGTAAAGAGCAAGACATGGACACAGTGACAGAGGATGAAGAAGAGCTGGGACCAAACAAGAAGCGAGGAAGAGGTAACACTATAATCTCTTTGTTCATTTGTGCACATGTATGCACACACACATATGCATGCACCTGGGAAGTTCTTGGGTTTTATTGTAAATTTTTGTATCAAGTTTCTGTTTCTTGTTTTCTTCTGTGCTTGCTGTCCGGATTCCTCTTTTGAAAACCCCAACAACAGAACCAGGCTATTGCCTGACAAACCATTACAGTTATGAGTAGTGCACTTGGAGAGAGTTGTAGGAGTCTCACCTAATAGGCTATGGTGTGGGTTTGACCATTTTTAGTAAGAAGCTGCAAAAAACCCAGGTATTTTAAAAGAAAATGTTATATTGAGTGTTTGGGTTTAGTTTGCCTTTGTTAATGAAGCAGTGTGTCTTCTGCACAAGAATCCAACCAGATTTATCCCCAGATTTCACTTCCTCAGCAGTGTGCTAGTAGGAGCTGTGGTGCAGTAAATGGCACAGCCTGCTATTTGGAACTGAATGTAGATATCACCACAGGAGGATGAATTGTTGCTGGCTTTGGGCTCCTAGCTTGTCTGTGTCTTTTCTCCCATGAAGGCTTTGTGCTAGTATCTGTGCCAACGGAAGTCCTGGATTATTGTGGACTTCAGGTTGCAAACTTGTACATTTCGTAACAGTACCTGGGATGGAAATTCTGATTTGTTCAGTAATACAGGTTTGCAGGTTTACTGCAGCTTTATGATGGCAAAACAATGAGGTCTTAAACAGAATTTCAAGTATCTTGAATACTCCTGTTCGAAAAATTGTGACTGGAGGGCAAACAAGTGTTATTACGTTCCTACAATTGGAGAAACTGAAGGTCATGCTGGAAATCAGTAGAAATTGAGTGCTGACAGCATCTTTCACCATTGTATGTGTCAATTATAAGATGTACTTTTCTAGATGACTACCAGGACCTGATTCTTTGGTGAACTAAGATGTGAACTGGAGTATTTTCAGCTGGTACAAGTTGAGGGGAAAAAGTAGTAGTATATATATTAAAAAAAAAAATAAAATAAATTGATAAAGTAATGTAACTGAGTTTGCCATAAGAGCGCTTATATAGGGATTCTGGTCTTGCTTGACATCTTTGGGGGATTTAAGGTGATTATTTTGAGTATGATAAATTAAGTCCAAAGCATAGTATGTATTCAATAATGAAATTGCTAGAGTTTTACTTGATCATTATAAGGTGCTTCTATAACATACTCTTAAGTTCTTAAAATTTTCGTTCTTTTTTTATGGTGTTAAAAATGACAATGTCAGTAAATGAGACTTTGTCTAGTTTCTGCAAAGTGAAAATACACTAAAGATGGCTGCCTCTTTATCAAGGGAAGGGGGTTAATCACTTGAATTTTTCTTTAATAAAACTAGTATTATTTCTTGACTGAACTGATGGTCCTTGACAGCGTAAGTTTAGATAATCAGAAAGGGACAGAACCAAAACCCGCCCTTTACTTGAGTTCTTGGTTAAAGAAAGAATTTAGAAGCGTATGCTGTCATACTTCTTCCCTTAACTTCTAGGAAGGAGAGGGCAAAATGGATATAAAGAATTTACAAGACAAGAAGAGACCACATGTGAAAAGAGTGAACCTCTTACTGCTGAAGATGAAGAAGCTTTAAAACAGGAGCAACAAAAGAAAGAGAAGGAACTGCTAGAAAAGATTCAGAACGCAACAGCCTGCACAAATATCACTCCATTAGGTCGTGACCGTCTGTACCGACGCTACTGGATTTTCCTCTCTGTTCCTGGATTGTTCGTAGAAGAGGACTATTCTGGTCTCACAGAAGACATGTTGTTGCCTCGAACCTCTTCCTTTCAGAATAGTGTACAGTCTTGCACAAATGAACCTCAGGTATTCAGTAAAACTGGAGAGTCTTTGAAATCCTCTGAATCTACCTCCAATATTGACCAAGATTCACACACCAGTGTTGTTGTAGAGGTGCCAAGGCCAGTATATAAACCAAACCGTTGGTGCTTTTACAATTCTCGGGAACAACTGGACCAACTCCTGGAGGCTCTCAATTCCCGAGGACATAGGGAGAGTGCCTTAAAAGAAACTCTTTTACAAGAGAAAAGTAGAATATATGAACAACTAAGAAGTTTTCCTGTGGAAAAATTCCATATTCCAGGTAATTGAAAGGTTCCTTGTGTTAATTGCTTCCACAGGTGTAATGTCTGTATAATATTCTAGAAACCTAATTCTCATTTAATTGTAATTCCTAAGAAATAAGAATCATTCTTAAGCATTGTTTCCCTCTATGGAAAACAGGTTTGGGTTTTTTCCTTTCTTTTTTCTTCCCCCCCCTCCCTTGCCCTGCTATGGTTCTTTGTGATATTTTCTGGTGGTTTATGCTAAAAAAAGCCATAATTTTTCTGTTATCTCACTGCTTAGTAAAACAGGATTGGCTTTTAAACAAACAACTTTAGGAAGTAATTTGAGCTTTGGGAAAAGATTAACTGGGGAATAAAGATTATATCTGCTAGAGGTCAATCATAATATTGATCACCTGTCTTCATTTCCAGTATGATGAAAGGAGACACAAGGTATGACACTGGAGACAGAAATATTGCAAAGGGAGGCAATTACTATTACCTTGATTTCTGAATAGGACATATTCTTTCATAACATTATAATGCATGAAATTATTCAAAAGCTTTTGCTAGCCTATTGTGAACAAGGGAATGATAGCATATTGCAGGGTCATACTAAAACCTTTGGGAGGAAAAAAATAGTGTAGCTGTGTTACATAGCTTAATGTTAGTGCAGTAGATTCTGTGATATTATTCTTTTCTGTGGTGTGGTTTTTTTTTTCCTTCTTTTGACAGATGCTTGTTACAGGAGGATGAGACATCTGCAGAGCAGTATTGTTTTTATGGGTTTCAAAATGTAGGAGTGTACTTAAACCCATCCTAGACCTAAGATTTAGGGGTTTTTCCCTTTTCTCCTAGCCAAGTCTTTTGCCGTTTATTGTCAAGGAATTAGCTCCAATCACTGATAAAATTCTGTATACACAAGCTTATTATCATGTGTTGGTAGGTAGAGGATGTTACCAAAATGAAAATCCCTAGGGTAGTGTTTAAGAAACTGCATATTGTTTTGAATTATGCCAAATTTTGGTGAGGATTTTGGGTTATCTGTATTGGGGCAAGGGAGAATTATTCATACCAGAGCTGAGTTCTGTTTTACTGGAGTGTGTATGCCAGGACATACAGCAAACACATCAGATATTACTAAATTCATAACTGATCTACCATTTCTTTTGGTGGAAACTGGCACAGGACAGAGTTCCTGCATAGTAATTAAGCTTTATTTGGAGGCCTTATGGCTATGTTTTTGGTGAGCAAATCTCTATTATTTTCTGATATATTTGTGTTGGTGCGTGTGGTTCCTTATTTTCCTAATTGCCGCACCTTTATTTTGTGTTTTGCTTTCTGCCCTGAAACAACTTGATTTCCAGAGTCATAGATTTTTCTTTCTACGTTAGAACTGTAGAATAACATGTTGTTTTGTTTTGTTTTGTTTTTAAAAAAAGAAAGGGGGCAACTTTGAACCTCACTTGAATAGAGATCACAAAAATTCAAATGCAGTGGTCCAACACCACCGCCTCTATGTGATAAGCAGTGATAAGTGGCCACGTATAGCTGTGCTTTGGAGGGAGCTTTACTGCTGTGGACTCCAGCTGCTGCCCTGTTGCCTTCACTCAAATCACTTGCAGGACAAGTGAGAACTACTCCATGATTCTCTTGTGCTGTAGACTGCTCTTCTCTCTTTTCCAATCCCCACTCAAAAGAGCATGGAAATAAAATTGATATGTGCTATTAGTTGATTTTATTCCAGTATCTGTTAACTCTTCCTTATCAATTATTTGCAAGTCAATTTTTACTGTTTCAGTTCTGCTCAAGAAAAAACATTTCACTTTTTTCTTTTAAACCAAAAAGGTTGTTTCCCATATCCAGACATCAGAGTATGCTGGTATATATTTTGAGAAGATTTGCATAGTTACTTTCAGTTACGGGGAATTGTTTCCACAATTGAGAGCATCTTAGAAATTCATCCTGTAGTTCCTTAACAGCTTTATGGTAATTTTTATTAAATACCTGTAAGTTCTTGCATATCCGTTCTCATCATTGCACTCATAAGATTTAAGGTAAATCCTGTGAACAGAAATGTTTGCCACCTATGCAGAGTTGCAAGCACTAATTCAGGATCTGGGCATACTTTCATCTCTTTCCTGTGGCTTTTGAGCTTTTGCATGAATTTTGAGTTCTATTATGAAGAGGTTTTTGCTTGACAACCCCGCATCAGCTCTTCCCTTCTTTATTGTGCTGTCTCGCTCCTTTTTTTTCCCCTGCCTTTAATTAGAGGACGCAGTTGGTCTAGTCTGTGCCTGTTTTGTTTTAAAGTTAAATTTTTAAAAGGGATTATGTCTTGTTCTGTTAGTTTTTGCTATTGTCAGTTGCACATGCTTGCTTTAAATGTTGCCATGATAAAGATCCATGAAGGAAAGAAAACTGAAGACTTCTCCTGTAAAGTAAGGGCCATCAAATATGAAAAATACTAGAAATGTGACTTCATTATCTTTCTTGGTGGTTTTTTTTTCTCCTCGCACTTACAGCAGAGAGTTGTTGATTAGCTACTACTTTAGAAAGCATTTTAAGGTAAAAGAATGACTTTTAAATTTACAATTATTTTTCATCCTGTGTGTTGGGATGAGCGGATGCTAATCTACAGGTCTTCCCTTAAAAGTGTGCTCCACTTGGTTGGATCAGATGCCTTAGTTGGCATGGAGATGTTGGTGTTGGCAACTGTTGCTACACGAAGGAAGTTTTGAAACCTGTGTGTTTAGTTTGTTCTTCCCTGTACTGCTTTTGTTCCTTCCACCAGTGGCTGCTTTAAGGAGCAATGTCCACTAACATGAAGTTACTTGGTATTCTTGCAGACAAACCTCAAAGTGACATCAGACCTCCTTCAGGACGGGGAAGGATGCAGAATGCCCATGATGGATCATACATATCTGCAGAGAAGCAGCTTGAACTGAGACTTAGAGACTTTCTTTTGGACATCGAAGACAGGATCTACCAAGGAACATTGGGAGCTATTAAGGTATTTGTGAACTGCAGAATACCTAAGAGCGTGGCGGTGCCGTCAAGTCTGTAACTCATATGAGAACTCTTGCATGCTATGGGTTTTCTGAAAGCATAATTAAATTAAGTGTAGACAGTAATTGGCCCTACAAGTTTGTGGCCTTTGATTCCTTAGAAACTTCAAATTTGTATGTTTGCTTCAGGTTACAGACAGACAGTCTTGGAGAGCAGCCTTAGAACATGGGCGGTATGAGTTTCTGAATGATGAAAACAAAGAAAATGGTATAATTAAAACTGTGAATGAAGAATCTGAAGAAATGGAAACTGATGATCAAGATAAATTTATTGTGAAAGACAGGTAAAAGCTATGGTTTAAATAATGGCTCTTCCCTGGGAGTTTTGTAGCAGTGCTCTGGGTTTTTTTTACCCTCAAATTCTTTAGAATGGTGTTTTTTAAGATTTGAGTTGTAAAATGTGAGATTTTTTGCATTGGTTTATATTTTCTAAATGACAGTGTTCTAATACCAGACTGTAAGACTAAGACACCAACTTTTACAACTTCTACTGTTCAGATATTATAATGCTCAAAGTGAACATTAATTATCTAATAAGGAATACATGAATTAATTTCAAAATAATTTAAAATGCAGAGAAAAATTAATCTGGCAATTTCTGTTTTGTTTTCCAGAAGAAAGTAAAACAACAACAACAACCAAAAAAACCAAACCCCAAACCCAAACCAAACAAAAAACAACCAACCAAAACCAAACAAAACAAAAACCCCAAAACACTTCATGGAAAGAGTAGGAGTGTTTAAAAGGGAAAATGCTAATAGTAACAAATTGGTAGTTGAACTGGCTGGTGTGCCTCTTCATGAGTCACAGTAAGAAGCATCAGTGCAACAGGCTATGGTCTGGATTAAACTTTAGCACTGCAGCAAAACGGAGGTACAATGTTAGAACTTTATGAATTAATGATCTCTCTGTAGAGCAAACTGCAACAGAGTAAAAGAAAGGAAACCTCAAATCATACAGTGTTGCAACTGTAGAAGTGTTTTGTTGTTTTTGTTTCTTAAACAAATGTTTGAGACAGATGTGGAACTCTTATCGGTGTTTGTAAATCAAACTATAGAAACTGTGAAGATTTCTAAATAATTAATTCTCAGAAGTTCCATGCTTTTCAGAAATAAAGATTTACCTTAATTTACTTAATACATATAAAATTGTATGTCTTGATAGGATGTGAATGTTGAAATATTGCAGGAAAAAAGATTCATCGGAGGAGATTGTACTAACATACTGTTTGCTTATGTACTCTATGAGGTTTTCTGCAATTAGACTTTTATGAAAGCTGTATTTCTGGGTGGACTCTTGAATGCTGTACTGGATGTAGGAATTTAAAGTTCTTTAAGGTTTTTCCCTTTTTATTTCAGTTTGCTGAATTAGTATTTTCATATAAGACTGCCCTTTGGATCTGAGTTTTGTAGTTGCGTGCAAAATGGATAGGGTCATCCTTCTTTATATTAATGACACAACTTACAGACATTTGCTTCCTGAAAACCACAACATAGAAATATTCCACTGTTTTAATTAAGAAGCTAAAATTTATCTGTCTCCATTTACCTTGGGCACTTGCTGCATTGCTAACTCTCAAATCAACTGCAGAAGCTTGTTGCTGCTTTTTTTTTTTCTATTTGATACTGACTCCTTTAAAGTTTCTGAATAGTCTACTCTTAATAAAGTCTTGCATATTGAAACAGAGACTATGGGATTCTGAAATCATGTGACACCTTGCTTTTGAAGCTGGGCTTTTTATCCACCTCAGAGCAAGTGACATCTCATTAAGACCTTGGAGTTTGACTAGTGAAATGTAATAACTATGCAGCTTTTTTTCCTGTTTGCTTTCAGAATCTCAAAACGTGTGTGACTGCAAAATATAATGAACAGCTTTTAAGTGTGGAAAAAGAACAGGGACAACCAAAAGCATTGCTCATTCACCAGAATAAAGCAGAATCCAGACAGTCTTAATTAGGTTTTTTTTTTATAAACCCCAAGTAGAAATTGTATTTTATTCTCATTTAGTGTGAGTTGCTCTCCTACACTATACTTAATGTTTGTGGTTCAGGAAGATTAACTACACTTTGAAATGATTACTTAGTCTTTGGTCAATGAAGCCTGTTTTATTGGAAACCTACCTTCTC